TCATTGTTGTTTGGTGGGTCCGGGCTGGGGATTCGAACCCGCCACCTTAGGTGTACATGGCTGGTGCCTTAGCCGGTTGAGCTATAGGCGCCGAGCCCAAACCAAGAATTATTAATAACCAACAACATCACATGCCTGGCCTGAAAAGTTCTAAGTACTTTCCATGCCAACTCACTTAATTCTCACCACAATGCCATGAAGTAGGGGCCACTGTTACCTCCACTTCATAGTTGAGGGAACGGAGGCAGAATAAGTGTCTTGCCCAAGGGCTCACATGGTTGAGTCATGTGAACCTTGAAAAAGTAGTCAACCTTTTCTGACATGCAGAAATGACAATTTCAGATAGTTCAACTTATTAAGTGGTAGTGCCAAGATTCGAACCCATGTCTTCACCTCAGCCTGCATGAACTCCATACCATCATACCAGCTTCTTTCAGAGCTATGTAAGCCCTTCCTTCCATCCTTCACTTGCCCAGGGCAGAGAAGGGAGATAAATACTGAGTTACTTGGAAGGGGGAATTGCCATGCACGGAGACTGGGCTGAATTCTGATACAACCTAGCAGAGTGCTATGGGCTTATCTAACCTTTAGAGAAGCAATCAGTTTTTACTATAGATAGAGAAACTGAGGCCCAAAGAAGGAAAGGACTTGTCTGAGGTCAGGCAGCTGGATGCCAATGCTCTCCCTCTGAGTAAGCAGCCCCTGTCTGCCCCCTGGGCCCTCACCATCAGAGCATGTGTCCCATCTAGGTCATCAAATTCCAGTAAATCATCGAAGTTGAACAGCTCTGGTGGCCGGAACTCCTCATCCTCATCTTCATCCTCTGTGATTGCAAAGCCCAGTCCTGATGAGGTCCCATCCCTGCCTGGTAGGTCCCTCAGCCCTAGGACAGTGGGAACTAAAGGAAAAGGACTCAGGAGAGGGAGCTTTCTGCCAGGGAGGGAACTGCTCACCATCCTCCGTGGTGTCACTATCACCCATCGCTGAGCTATCCAGATCCTTCTGGGATGGCAGCAGAGTGGTGCCTGAGTGAGGGACCATCTTCTTCTCCACCCAACCCCTCCGGCGCAAGAGACCCCGTATCACTGGGTAACGGCCTTGGATTGTAAAAATCTTCTTCTGCTGTAAGGGGAGAAGATATTTATTTAATGAATATTGCCTAAGTGACAAAGGGGTGTAAGGGTGAACCAGACAGTTATGTTCTCTGCCATCAGCAAATTTTAAAATACCAGTAAGAGAGACAGGTTATAAGCAAGTAGAAAAATAAATATGCATAGTAACAATGATAGTCCTAACAGCTAATATTTATTGAGGACCTGCTGTGTTAAGCACTTACATTAATTACTAAAAAAAATATGCAATTTTATTAGATACTGTTATCTTTGTTTTACTGGTGGTGAAACAGAGGCATAGAGAGGTTGAGTAGCTTGGCAAGGCCACACAGTAAGTAAAAGAGCAGGGATTTAAATCCAGGCAGGTTAGCTCTAGAAACTACATACTTGATGGTGACCCAGAGAAACTACTTAGAAATACATAGTCAGGGAAGGCTGAAATGTGCCATGAATGTACAGAGCAGGGCAAATGATGGTTCAGGAAGAGGGAAAAGCATGTGTAAATGTCTTGAGGCTGGATAAAGGTCAGAAGGAACTGAAGGGAGGCCAGAGTGAGTGGAGTGTGGAAAATGAGGGGGAGAGCTCCAAGGAAGCCGGCAATGGCTAGAATATGGAGGGCCTTGTAGGCCTTGGAATGGACTTGGATTTTATACCAGGAGTGGTATGAGGCAATAAAATATAAGTGAAGGAATGACGTAGTTAGAGGTATTCTAAGTTTGATTTGCTACTGTACAGAGAATAGATGGAACAAAGATGGAGGCAAAAGAGCTAGAAGGCTATTGAGGTTTGCACAGGAGAGAAATCACAATAGCTAGAAGAAGGTGGTTACAATGAAGATGCGGAGAAGGTAGTAGAGTTGAGATCCATTTTGGAGGTAAAGATGGTGACTGGTTTTGCTAATGGGATTAGACATGTGGTTGAAGGAACAGAAAGATCAGACTTCTGTTGTGATGAGAGATGGGGAAGACCAGGGAGGAGGACAGGTTGGTAGGAAAATCAGAGCATGGTTTATAGACATGAGTTTGAAATGCTTGTTAAGTTTTGTGGGTGGAAAGGTCAAGTAGGGGGCCACATCTACAGGGTGTAGTTAGAGGTTGGGCCATAAAGTGTATGTGGGCATGCAGCACACTGATTGCACTCAAGACCAAGGAGACAGGCAAAAGAGACAGGTGTGAGGAGGAATCCAGAGAACCACTCATGTCCAAGGAACCTTCAAAGGCAACTGAAAAGCAGCAACCAGGAAGGAAGAAAAGAAAAAGTGTGTAGCCAGACAGTCAAGGGGGAAGGGACCACGGAGCAGCAGTGCACACAGGAGCAGAACCAAGAACAGGTCAGAAAAAGACTTGGCTGCTTGGAGGTTACCAGTGACCTTGACTAGAGTGGCTTCCCATGGGAGTGGGGAAGGGCAAGGAATCAGAACTGAAGGAGCAGAGGAGTGAATCTCAGGTAAAGCAGTAGATTAGTGGATAGACAATTCTGCCACCAAGTTTGGCTTTGAAAGGGGAGTGAAAAATGGTGAAGTAGTTGAAGATGGGGTCAGGGGTCAACATTTTTGTTTTTTGAGCATGAGAGGAAATAGTGCTGGGTCAGGAAATGGGGGGCAAGCCCAGCAACCCACAGGGCCCTTTCTATCCCAGTCTCCACTCCCCCTCCAACCTTGACAGCTCTCTCCACGTGGATTTTGGCGTTTCTGAGCCGGCCCATGTGGTGAGACGCCTTGGAGAATCCTGGCCAGAAGACAAGGGAACCTGCAGAAAGACGTGGAGTAGGGAGGGGGTAGGCTGTGGCTTAGCCCAGGATCTTTTTTTTTTTTGAGACAGAGCCTCAAGCTGTCCCCCTGGGTAGAGTGCCGTGGCATTACAGCTCACAGCAACCTCCAACTCCTGGGCTCAAGCGAGTCTCCTGCCTCCGCCTCCCAAGTAGCTGGGACCACAGGTGCCCGCCACAACGCCCGGCTATTTTTTGGTTGCAGCCGTCATTGTTGTTTGGCGGGTCCGGGCTGGGGATTCGAACCTGCCACCTTAGGTGTACGTGGCTGGTACCTTAGCCGGTTGAGCTATAGGCGCCGAGCCCCCAGGATCTTTTCAGGTCCTGACACCCACGTCTCTTCACCCTTCATCCAGATGCCTGCCCTCTGCTGCTCTTCTCCCCACCCTCATTCCCTCCATCCCAAAGTCTTCTTGTCCTTGGAGCCGCCACGGGCCAGGACAGGCGGGCCGCTCCGGGCCTCACCGTCTTGCGGGGAGGAATCGTCCAGGGCCAGGGTGTGCACGGGGACGACGGGGTAAGGATCCGTGGCACCCTGAGCATGGGTGCCGTGGGCGAGAGTCTTGAAGGCGCCGCCTAGGCGACGCGCAGTGACTGGACTGTAGGCCGGGCTCTTGCTGGCTGCAGCTGCACGATCCTCGTCCGGCCGGGTGGACGTGGGCTCGGGCCATATCAGCGTCCCAGGAGGCCCGTACTCAGAACTGCGGTCCCAGGACCACAGGGCCGGGGAACTGGCGCATGGCTCCGGTGGCTGCGGCTTCTGCAGCCAGCTGAAGCCCTGGCCCTCCTCCGGACGGTACCAGACGACAGAACCCTGCTGCGCAGGACCCAGCTCTCCTGCGCTCAGGAGCAGCGCTGCGCCAGGGCCCTGCATGCACCCCTTGCCGCACGCCCTCCCAGCGCCGCCTCTCCCCGCCGGCCCTGCCGGGGTTCCAGCTGGGCCCGGCCTTCCGAGGCCCCGCCCACTGTTTGCTGTTGCCTTGGAAACCATTCCCCGGGCACAATCAGACCCCAAGCGGCGGGTTCGGGAGCTGCGGTGGAACTCAGGAGCAGACTAGCGAGGGCTTTCTCTGGACTCGGGGCCTCACCTGTCGAGACCCTTAATGAGCGGGGCACCAAAGGAGGAAGCGAACACTGGGCATTATTACTAATGTCACAGTTCTTCATCCCGCATTTTCTGTGTGTCAACAGCGGTAGGGATTGAGTCATTCCACAGTACTTACAGCCACTGACAAGTAGTTCCTGACTTCAGGAAGCTTACGGCCCAGTGTGGGGAAATAGAAAGAAAGTAGGAAACGAATAAAACAGATACAGGTATAAGGGCAGGGAATGAGCAATGAACTGAAACCAGGAAGAGGGCGCTTTTTTTTTTTTTTTTTAAGAGACTGAGTCTTGCTCAGTTGTCAAGGCTTGGAGTGCTGTTGGGATCACAGTTCACCACAGCCTCAAACTCCAAGGCCAAGACTCTTAAGTATCCTTTCTGGAGGCAGTGGCCAAGTATTATCCTCAAAAGTCACGAGGGAGATTCAAATTAAGGCTCCAAGATGCTAGATAATTGCCTCAAAGCACATGGCAGAGGCAGCCCTGGCTCTAAAGCCTCACTCAAACCCCATGCTATCACTCTGAAGGGTTACCTTTTGCTCATGAAATACCAAATAGGGGCACTTTGAGAGGCAAAGCCCAACATTGCCCATTCAGACAGAGTCCAGGGAAGAGTACCTGTGTCCCCCACTGACCCCAACTACTGAGACCATCTTTCCCAACTCCCTTTTTGATGGTGACTGGGTTTCCTAAAAAGCATGCCCCCAAGGGAGGACCCACTGATTGGCAACCACCCAGTGTAATCTCATTGGCCTGCAATTCTGGTTTTAGGGATTTTGGACTCTGGGAGATAGTGACAAATGAGGGTTGTGGCTAGCTCACCCAGGCAATGCTGTCTTGTGAAGGTTGTTGAGTGACTAGTTGCCAAACCCTAGTAATCACCCAGCTTCACCATGAGCACCTTCAACATTCCCTGCAAAGCCAGAACATAAACATGTGCCTCAAAGGGACATCTAATTCAGCAAGGCAGGAGAGGGAAGTCAGAGATGTCACAAAGGGGATAATAGCTATTCAGTTGCCTCCACCTCTTCCCCTCCCTTTAACATTACCTTGTCCTCCCCTTCAAAATAGACTCCATTGGCTATCTGGAGGAATCCCTTTTGAAAGTTCAGCTCAAAGGCCAACATTTCTTGAAGATTTCCCCTAACACTCCTATACATATACCCCCCTCTAGGGTTCCAGACTTGTAAAACTAAATATCAAACACTTCAGGTCAGCAAAGTGGCTTCTACCTGTAATCCTAGCCTACGGTAGGCTGAGGAGGGGGGACTGCTTGAGTACAGTAGTTTTGAGACCAGCCTGAGCAAGAGAGACTTTGCTGGGCATTCTGACATATGCCTGTAGTCTCAGCTACTGGGGTGGCTGAAGTAGGAAGATTGCTTGAACCCTGGAGTTTGAGGTTGCTTGTGACCTATGAAGCAACAGCACTCTAGTGAGGGCAAGAGGGTAAGATTGTCTCAAAAAGGAGAGAAAAAAAAAAACCTACTTCAGGCTCACTGCCTGTGGCTCAAGTGGCTAAGGCGCCAGCCACATACACCTAAGGTGGTGGGTTCGAATACAGCCCGGGCCCGCCAAACAACAATGATAGCTGCAACCAAAAAATAGCCAGGCGTTGTGGCGGGCGCCTGTGGTCCCAGCTACTTGGGAGGCAGAGGCAGGAGACTCTCTTGACCCCAGGAGTTGGAGGTTGCTGTGAGCTGTGATGCCACAGCACTCTACCCAGGGGGACAGCTTGAGGCTCTGTCTCAAAAAAAAAAAAAAACCCACTTCAGTGCATCTATTTACATATCTAGCTTCTTTTAAATGTACAATTCTTTCAACTTTTCTGTGTGTTTGAAAATTTTGATAATAAAATGTTGGCTCAACTTGGTGGCTCACGCCTGTAATCCTAGCACTCTGGGAGGCCGAGGTGGGCGGATTGCTTGAGGTCACAAGTTCAAGACCAGCTTGAGCAAAAAAAGCGAGACCCTGTCTCTACTAAAAATAGAAAAACTGAGGTAAGAGGATCACTTGAGCCCAAGAGTTGGAAGTAGCTGTGAGCTATGATGCTATAGCTCTCTACCCAGGGCAATAGCTTGAGACTCTGAACTGATAAGTGCTCTTGAAGGAAAATCAAACAACTGCCAGACTAATCCTACTCCATGCTCCTAGCTGCTCAGCAATTCCTTTCTAAGACACCAGTTGGCTCCTTCTCCACACTCATAGCAGCAATTCTAAATCTTCATGGTTCTTCTCAAACGTCTTACTTATTTCCCCTTCTTCAATCTGAACACAGTACCTTCACCAGCTTCTTCCCCAAATGCTCTTAACTAGTTTCTGTCACCTTTTTTAGCGCAGGCACCGGCACCAGCAGCCCTCGCCACTTGGGTGCCTTCTCTTCGCTGAAAAACTCAGAACAGCAGCTGCTGCGCCTGCATGGTGCCCCGGAGGCGCATCTGGGCGGGGAGAGGGGCTGCAGCGGCCTGGCCTGGGAGCCGCGAGAGGGCGAGCTCGTAGCGCGGAACAGGGCCGCAGCCCCACCCAACAGCCAGGTCCCCTCTGGGTGCCGCGCAGCCGGACTGGCCCTGGCGAAGGGGCTGGGGGACTAAGCCCGCGCCTGACAACCCACCCAACACCGGGACCAGCCGCGGAGAATGCAGCCCAGAGGCGGCAGCATGCCGCACCACTGCCCCAGGGCCAGGCCTCCTCCGCCCCTCTCCTGCCCGCCTGCCGGGGCTGCACTCTTGGGCTGGCCTGGCCCCACGGCTGTGGGAGGGCGTGGCGGAGCTGGGGAGGAGATCTAACAGGGAGGGGAAAGGCCCGAGGTCGTTGTTGGGGAATCTAGCTACCCCGACGTGCCGCTGCCGCCAGTGTAGGGTTTTCTACATATCTTTTACTGGACACCCAAGTCCCTTCAAGGCAGGGTAACATCCCCCAGGCCTAAACATTGGAAGTTATCTATTGTGCAGCTTGATAATGAACAGCTATTGTTCATTCAGTGTCTGTATGGCAAGGACTGTAACAGACTGTTCCATATCTCCATTTTACAATTTAGAAACTCAGGCAGTGGGCGGGGCCTATGGCTCAATGGGTAGGGCACCGGCCCCATATACCAAGGGTGACGGGTTCGAACCTGGCCCTGGCAAACTGCAAGAAAAAAATAGCCATGTGTTGTGGCGGGCACCTGTAGTCCCAGCTACTCGGGAGGCTGACGCAAGAGAATCGCCTAAGCCCAGGAGTTGGAGGTTGCTGTAAGCTGTGATGCCAGAGCACTCTACCAAGGTTGATACAGTGAGACTCTGTCTATAAAAAAAAAAAAAAAGAAACCGAGGCAGAGAATATCAACAACTTGCCAAAATTCAGCAACAAGGGTCAAAACCCAAACACAAAGATTTTTGCTTTTTCTTTGTCCTTTAAGGTGTCACTAAGGTCTATCGCTATCCAATAGGACTTTCTGCAATGATGGAAATGTTTACATGCCGTCATATGATACGTACTAGTTACTAATAGCCTTTGAGCACTTGAAATGTAACCAATAGGAACAAAACTCTGAAGTTTAATTATACATTTTAAATAGTACATATGGCTTGTGTTTACTTTAGCACAGGTAGAGGTCTTTTTGCTCACTGGTGAGATCTGAAGCAAACTGTTCCATCTCCTACTTGGAAGCTGTTTCCTTATCCATGAAATGGTATCATTTTTCTCTGAAGTTACCTTTTAGCCCAAATGAGATTATATGAAAAGCACCAAACTATACAGGCAGAGAGAGAAGTTTCAGACAGGATGGTGCCTGGACTGCAATGAAAGATCTTTGGGTTAAGGCCCTAGGCAGGAATAAAGGGAGGACCTACCAAGAGACCCCATCTGGTGAGGAGCTTCAGGCCTACCTACCAGCCACATGGTCTCAGGGGAAAGAGCCCCACTTCCCCTCCTTCCACATAACAGAGCACAGACCTCATGCAGCCTCAAAGGGACAAGAAAAGATTTTAATTAGGGGAGGAGGATCCACCAGAATCAGAAAAGGAACAGCGAGCATGGGAGCAGAGGAGCCAGAGCAGGCAGGAGGAGGGACTGGCCAGGAGGCTCTGGAGGAGGACTGACCTCTCCACCTGTAGTGCAGGAACCACACTGACAGACAAGGCCAAACAGTGGGCCCTCTAAGCTGGGAGGGCTGTAAATGGCCACTATAACCAGAGGTTGCCTGGCTTTTGAGTTCCCACCCCTAGCCATGGCTGGAGGTCATCAATTCAGCCCTGGCCTCAACCGTTGCTGGATGGCCATCTTCAGGCAAAACTCAGGAAGCTGGCAGAGGGTCCCCACAGTTAGACTGGGCCCAAGGAGGCCTGGGAATAAAAGGATAAAGGAGAGGAGCTGGAGTCCGAACCCCCCACCTAGGGTGGCATGGGGGAGGTAAGGTAGTCGCCTTCTGGCTCCAGGCCCGCCCAGACCCACAGCGACCAATAAGGTATAATCACTGGGACCAGTCAGAGCCACTGGAGGTGGAGGTTGTTTTTAAAAAAAAAAAAAAAAAAAAGACAAAAAGGTTAAAGTCTCCTACAAGCAGAGTTAAGTTTCAAGACATTAAAAAAATCTGTCCCAGCCCAGGGGACTGAACATCAGAAGCCAGCGCCAGCCTGACCAGGCACGTGTGGCCTTGGGGCAGGTCCACTGCTGATTTCTTGCACAGCTAGCAAGCACACCACCCCCCCTCCCACATCCAATGCCCACCCGACCCAGACCCAGCTCCCCGGCGCTGCCCCCACTGCTGCTGCTGCTGCTCCTCGGGGGAGTGACTCCAGGACGCCTTCACGGATACAGGGGAGTAGGGGGGGAAGGCCACAAGATCCAGCCAGATGGTTTAAAACTGTCAAAAGAACCAAGAGGGAGAACATGGTGATTATTATTGTATCCTAGTGGGCCTACTATGGGGAAGTAGGCTGATCTGAGAGCTGTTACTGTGTTCAGATCTCGGAGAGGGAGAGCTGGATCCCAGGACACCCTGTGGTCATACTCAGTCAGTGTTCAGAAGTAGCGTGTGGGTACTATCCACAAACCTAGCACTAGTTAAGGCAGAAAAAGTATAACAGAGATGAGAGCTTCTACACAGCTCCCCAGGCCATGTCATGGAGACTGCTATAAAGCCCTGCCAGTGTATTGCTTGGTAAACTGAGGTTGCTTTCTTTAGACATGGGGTCTCCCATGCAAGCGGCTTAGGGACTCAGAAGGCTAAGGGGAAAAGAACCTAGAATCTGGTACTTTGTGTCAAATTTTGGGTGATCCAACCAGGACAGGCCTTTTTTTTTTTTTTTGAGACAGAGCTTTAAGCTGTCCCCCTGGGTAGAGTGCCGTGGCATCACAGCTCACAGCAACCTCCAACTCCTGAGCTCAAGTGAGTCTCCTGCCTTAGCCTCCTGAGTAGTTGGGACCACAGGCGCCTGCCACAATGCCCGGCTATTTTTTGGTTGCAGCCGTCATTGTTGTTTGGCGGGCCTGGGCTGGATGTGAATCTGCCACCTTGGGTGTACATGGCTGGCACCTTAGCCACTTGAGCCATAGGTGCCAAGCCAGGACAGGCCCTTAAAATGTTTTCTGCCCTCAAGTATCACCCATGGCATCTAGAACAGAAGGTTGTAAACCAATAGTCTATGACTGAATCCAGCCTGAAGACAACCACCATTTGCCCCATGCAGTATCCAAAAAAAAATTAACAAAGGCTAGGCATGGTGGCTCATGCCTATAATCCTAGCACTCTGTGGGTGCTGAGGCAGGTGGATTGCCTGAGCTCACAGATTCGAGACCAGCCTGAGCAAGAGCAAGACCTCATTTCTAAAAATAGTTGGGCCTTGTGATGGGTGCCTGTAGTCTCTGGGAGGCTGAGGCAAGAGAATGCTTGAGCCCAAGAGTTTGAGGTTGGGCAGTGCCTATGGCTCAGTGAGTAGGGCGCCGGCCCCATATAACGAGGGTGGTGGGTTCAAACCCAGCCCCAGATAAACTGTAATAAAAAATAGCCAGGTGTTGTGGCGGGCACCTGTAGTCCCAGCTACTCGGGAAGCTGAGGCAAGAGAATCGCCTAAGCCCAGGAGTTGGAGGTTGTTGTGATGCCACAGCACTCTACTGAGAGTGATAAAGTGAGAAAAAAAAATTAATGAACTCACTGCCTATCTTGAAAACATGGAAAATAACACATACAAATCCAGATTTGGGGATTCTCTTGAAAAGTTGGAAGATGAAGCCACAACAGGCTGTAGTAATCTTTAGATGAAGCCTATGCCAGCAGGTCCTTGCCCCACCCACTACCTGCCCAACCTATGCATGCACCTGAGTTTATGATCCCTGCTGGAGGTTATACTATTTTAGATTTTTGACTTGGAAAACCCAGCTCCACATTCTGGTTCCTCCATTTCCTGGCTGAGGAACCTCAGGCAAGTGACTTCCCTACCACAGCACCAGTTTAATCATCTATAAAATGGTGAGAATACCTGACTCAAAGATTTTTTAAAAGTATTTAATGGGTCATGTGAACATGGTTTTCTAGGTGTATAGCTCTAAAAATATAAAAATGGTCATAAATAAGTGAGGGATTGTTGAATGAGTAAGCCAAATATTAAACTGGGATGAGAGCTATTTTCTTCCTTTCCTTTTTTTTTTTTTTTTTGAGACAGAGCCTCAAGCTGTTGTCCTGGGTAGAGTGCTGTGGCATCACAGCTTACAGCAACCTTCAACCTCTGGGCTTAAGCAATTCTCCTGCCTCTGCCTCCCAAGCAGCTGGAACTACAGGCACCTACTACACTACCCAGCTATTTTTTTGGTTGCAGCTGTCATTGTTGTTTGGCGGGCCCGGGCTGGATTTGAACCCACCAGCTCAGGTGTATGTGGCTGGCGCCTTAGCCGCTTGAGCCACAGGTACTGAGCTGGATGAGAGCTATTTTCCTTCTCAGTTCAATCTAGCAGGGGTGGCCAAGCTGCAGACTACAGGCTGCACATGGATTAAATGAGGACTGTTTTGCTTATCTGATATCATGAAAATTATGCATAGACCTTTTTTTGCACATCTGTTTTTGTCAGTGTTTGTGTATTAATTTATGGCCCAAGATAATTCTTCCAATGTGCAGCAGAGAGGAAAAAAGATTGGATAAAACAGGTGCGGTGGTAACACTCTGGGAGGCCAGAGACCAGACTGCTTGAGCTCAGGTGTTTGAGACCAGCCTGAACAAGAGTGAGACCTGGTCTCTACTGAAAAATAGAAAAACTAGCCGGGTGTAGTGGTACGTGCCTGTAGTCCCAACTATGTGGGAGGCTGAAGCAAGAGGATTGCGCAAGCCCGAGAGTGTGTAAGAGTTTGAGGTTGCTGTAAGCCATGATGCCATGATGGCACTCTACCCAGAGCAACAAAGGGAGACGGTCTCAAAACAAACAAACAAAAATTCCCAATAGAGGCTTCTTTGTACCTTGGCCTCAAAATTTTAGTGCTATTGTACATGGAAAGCTTATTATGTACCAGGGGCTACATTTTACACACATGAGCTTAGGTAAAACTCAACCACTCTAAAAAATAAATATTAATTAGTAGGTACTCATTTTACAGCTGAAGAAAGCAAGACTTAGTTGAGAGGTTCAGTGACATAGCTTAGGAAGCAGGAGAGCCAGGATTTCAACTGTAGAGTAACACCACAGCCTGCATGAGCTGACCAACCATGCTGCTCTGTGCTCACAGTACAGCTGTGTAAACTGGCCACCCCCAGTATAATGAAACAGAGGAAGTGGGTATCATTTCCATTTTTAGGAATATGAGCTCCTCTGGGCTGGGTTTGCACGCACTAGTATGAATAAACACCATCTGGGGATCAGTCAACTCTGGTTGGAACATATCAACAAACCCAAGATTGTTTGGAAGAAGGGGGAAAAAAAGAAGGCATGTCCTGAATATCTAAACAAGAACAACTATGTCATCAGTTCATCAATGTAAACAATTCCTCCTCTTCAGAGGACTATAATCTTTTTGGGTTAGAAAGGCACAATTTAAGAGGAATCTAGAGGACTTAAACCAGGAAAGGAATGGAAAACAGGTTAAAGGAATCACAACTTTAAGACTGAAAAACAGACACTGAAGTCTGTTTGAGAAATGGAATTACACCATGATTAACTGTCCTGGACTCCAGAAAATTCACATATGGACTCTACTTGCCTCATTGGAGGTTTGAACTAAATATATGTAAGGGCTCTAACATTTTAGATGTAGAAATGGACATCTGAGTTCTTATGCAAGACAAGGTGTCCCATACATGCAGATGTGGACAATGCCCTGTAGCTCTCCAGAGGTGAACCTCAGGTCTTCCAGCTCCAAAGTACCTGCCTCGCTGACTTGCAGTGTTTGTGTTTGTTTCCTAGACTCCTCAGGAAACAAACATACTGTCGGTACCACCTTCCTACCTCAGCACTAAGTTCTCAATAAGACCCATGGCTCTGAAAGGAAACAGGAAGGGCCCTACTCACGTTCTTGAGGAACTCCTCAGCCACGATGCGTGCACGGGCATTGACTGACAGCTTCATCTCACTGATTTCCTTGTCAATCTCCTCCATGAAGTGAATCACGAAGTCTACCAACTTGTGTTTGTACATTTGCTCTGTGTGGAAGTTGGTGATCAGAAAACTAATGTCATAGCCCTAGGGAAGAAAGACAGACGGGAGGAGGAAGAGATGAAACAGCAGACAATAATGCTCTAGGGATACATAGCCGACCAAGTCCTCATCTTCATTCATCCACCTGCTTCCACCAGGCCGTGATCTTCTCAAGCTACGTGCCCTTCCAGTCAGCAGCCCTTAGTATAAGGGTGGGGTGTGTAAGGTGGAAGGTGTCTAGGTTAGATCCAAGCAACTGAACCCAGCTGCAAGACTTCTGCGTACCAGACATTTCTAGAAGACCATCTAGAGCACAAACAGTTCTGCATTCAGAATGAGTCAAAGGAGAATGAAGGAACTTGAAATTTTGTTACAGAAGAACCTAGGATAGGCCTGGCATAGTGGTTCAAGCCTCCCAGTGGAGGTTCTGGGAGGCCAAGGCAGATGGAAGGCATGAGCTCAGGAGTTCAGGATCAACCTGAGCAAGAGTGATAACCCCATCTCTACTACAAACTAGATGGGCATGGTGGCAGGTGCCTGTAGTCCCAGCTGCTTAGAGACTGAGGCAAGAGGTTCTCTTGAGCTCAGGACTCCAAGATTGCTGTGAACTAGGATGATATCGTGGCACCCAGGGCAAAAAGACTCTGTCTCAAAAAAAGAAAACATAATTGGGCGGCGCCTGTGGCTCAAAGGAGTAGGGCACCGGCCCCATATGCCGGAGGTGGTGGGTTCAAACCCAGGCCCGGCCAAAAACTACCAAAAAAAAAAAAAAGAAAAGAAAAGAAAGAAAACATAATCTAGGCCAGGGACAGTAACTCAGGCCTGTATTTCTAGCACATTGGGAGGGCAAGGAAGGAGGATCACTTGAGGTCAGGAGTTTAAGACTAGCCTGAGCAAGAGTAAGACATCATCTTTACAAAAAAAAAAAAAACCCAGAAAAATTAACTATATATTATGGTGTACTCCTGGAGTCCCAGTTACTTGGGAGGCTGAGGCAGGATTGATTGAGCCCAAGAGTTTGAGGTTACTGTAAGCGATGATGACAGCACTATACTCTAGCCTGGGCAAGAGAGTCAGACCATGTTTCAAAAACAAAGAATGTAATCAAATGACAAGGAACAGTCCAGAGAAGAGATGATGTGGGAGAAGGGTGGGATTAAGGTCTTTTACTACTGGAGGGTTAGCAAAAGAGCAATTTTATTTATTTTGGGTGGCCTCAGATGTTAGATATAGGACCAGGAGAGAGAATCTGGCTCAGGATGAGAACTTGGCCGATACATCAGATGTGTGTGACAATGGCGCATGCTGCTCTGTGTGGTAGTTGCTCAGTCACAGGGGATGTTTTAAGTTTACCTGGCAAGGAATTTGTCGAGTGGATTCAAGTCCAAAGTCAGGCAACAACTGACCCAAAGTTAACTGTGGCTTTGAGAGACTCATTTGATTGGCAGCAAAGCTTAGATTTAATTCACTACGTTCTTTCTGCTATTAGACAGTAAGCTCTGGGACGATGAGCAATGTGTCTTAGCTTCTTTCTTTGCCTTTTCTATGGTTATGGTAGAGCCAACTTCTCTTAAGCTTCTAACCCTCTTTGTTCCCATTCCAGCTGAGATACAGGCCAACTCTCCCTCAACTTGAGCAGGGTGCACTCTATAGGTGGAGGAGCAGCAATCCTGGATGCAGAAACAATCCTAAGCCACACTGTGATAGGATCCTGGGTATTATGAACACACGAATCACAAGGTCTCACCTCCACTGGTTTCCTTCGAAGGATAAAGAAGTTCTCTGCTCGCATCATCATGAAGCGCATAAACTTGTGGCATAAAATCTTCTCAATCTCATCAGCCTAGAGAGAGCAAAGGAGAAACATGTTGCTCTAAAGCTAACACCTAAGACAAAGATACCCTGTAGCATGGTCTTCTGACCTCAATTTCCCCTAGGCTTGCTGGTAGCAATGAGGTTTGGTAGTAGGAGCAATCATGGCCTGAACTTTGTAGGGCAATTAGTTGCCAACTGAAAGGGTCTACCTTAGAACCTCTCTAACTTTATGAGGCATTATTGTGATCTTGTCTTTAACCATTCCAGAGGGGTAATTCTGACAAACCAGTTTTTTACTAGCTCTTTTAGAAATTACACCTAAACTAAAAGCTGCCTCTCCTGCATAACTATACTTGTTGCCCACGCACAGTGGTTCATGTCTATAATCCTAACACTTTGGGAGGCTGAAGCAGGATTGCTTGAGGCCAGCCTGGGCAATATAGTGAGACCCATTTAAAAAAAAAATAAGACGAATTGGCTGGGCATGGTGGTATGTGCCTGCAGTCCCAGCTAACTGGGAGACTAAGGTAGAAGGATCACTTGAGCTCAGAAGTCAGAAGCTACAGTGAGCTATGATCTTGCCACTGTATGCTAGCCTGAGAGTGAGGTGTTGTCTCTTGAAAAAAAAAACAAAAAAAGGGCTGCCTGTAGCTCAGCAGCTGGGCGCCAGCCCCATACACCAGAGCTGGTGGGTTCAGATCCAGCCTGGGGCCTGCCAAATAACAGCAACTGCGGGCAAAAAATGGCTGGGTATTGTGGCGGGCACCTATAGTCCCAGGTACTTGGGAGGTTGAGGAAAGAGAATCACTTCAGCCAGGAAGTTCAACGTTGCTGTAACCCGTGATGCCACAGCACTCTACCCAGGGTGACAGCTTGAGAATCTGTCTAAAAAACAAACCATCAAACAAACAAATGTTCTGGGCTATTCCCCTTCTCATTTCATTAGTGCTGTATCTCCCAAAGTGTGTGGCAAGTACCACCTGGAGTTATCAGAGATAACCTTAGGTGGTCTGCGCTTTAGTAACACTGAATATCAAATGATCCCCAAAATTTCTCCCTTCTGAATTCTCTTTCAATTTTTCTTTTCTTTTTTTAATTTAAGATAAAGAGTCTCATTCTGGCTGGGTGTGGTGGCTCACGCCTGTAATCCTAGGAGGCTGGGAGGCCAAGGCAGGTGGATTGCCTAAACTCACAGGTTCGGGACCAGCCTAAACAAGAGCAAGACCTCATCTCTAATAATAGCCAGGCGTTGTGGCAGGCATGATAGTCCTAGCTACTTGGGAAGCTGAGGTGAGAGAACTGCTTGAGCCCAAGACTTGGAGGTTGCTGTGAACTATGATGCCACAACACTCTACCAAGGGCGACAATGTAAAACTCTATCTCCAAAAAACAAACAAACATGGCTTGGTGCCTGTAGCTCAGCGGCTAGACTGACAGCCATACAGTGGAGCTGGTGGGTTCAAACCCAGCCTGGGTCCGCCAAGCAATAATGACAACTACAACCAAAAAGTAGCTGGGCATTGTGGCAGGGGTCTGTAGTCCCAGCTACTTAAGAGGCTAAGGCAAGAGAATTGCTTAAGCACAAGAGTTTCAGGTTGCTGAGAGCTGTGACGTCATGGCACTCTATCAAGGGCAACATAGTGATACCCTGTCTCAAAAAAAAAAAAAAAAAAGTCTCATTCTGTTGCCCAGGCTAGAGTGCTATGGCATCAGCCTAGCTCACAGAAAATTCAAATGCCTGGGTTCAAGCAATCTTCCTGCTTTAACTCTTGAGTAGCTAGTACTATAGGCACCCACCACCATGCCTAGCTAATTTTTCTTTCTTTATTTTTTTGAGACAGAGCCTCAAGCTGTCACCCTAGGTAGAGTGCCTTGACATCATAGCTCATAGCAACCTCCAACTCCTGAGTTCAAGCCATTCTCCTGCCTCCGCCTCCCTGGTAACTGGGATACAAGCGCCTGCCACAACACCCAGCTATTTTTTGGCTGCAGCCGTCATTGTTGTTTGGTGGGCCCAGACTGGATTCAAACCCGCCACCTTGGGTGTACGTGGCTGGCACCTTAGCCGCTTGAGCCACAGGTGCTGAGCCTAATTTTTCTATTTTTAGTAAAGACGGGACTACTCTTGCTCAGGCTGGTCTTGAACTCCTGAGCTCAGGCAATCTACCCACCTCGGCTTCTCACAGTGCTAGGATTATAAGTATGAGCCACCGTGCCCAACCACTTCCAATATTTCTTTCTTTTTTTTTTTTTTTAATTTTAGGCAAAGAACTTTATTAACCTTTCTTTCCAACTTTATTCCCAGGCTTCTTTAGCTTAATTACCTGCCAAGAATGAATTATGTATAAGCAAAATCTAAAAAAAGCTGCAATGTCCAAGAAGCTCACTTTTAATATTTCTAGATGAAGAATTCTGTAGCTGGATGCTAGTTTGCCCAAGTGACCTCCCAACACTTGTTAATCTTCCAAAGAGAGCAAGCCCAGTGGTTCGAGTTTTCTATAGGCAACAGTATGCAGTCTGAAAAAAAAAAAATTTTTTTTTTTTTTTGAGACAGAGTCTATGCCACCGATGGTAGAGTGCTGTGGTGTCACAGCTCATAGCAACCTCAAACTCTTGGACTTAAGTGATTCTCTTGCCTCAGCCTCCAAAGTAGCTGTGTGGTACCTGCCACAATGCCCAGCTGTTTTTTGGCTGCAGTTGTCATTGTTGTTTAGCAGGCCCAGGCCGGGTTCGAATCCAACACCTGGGTGCATGTGGCTGGCATCCTAACCACTGAGCTCTGGGCACTGAGCCTCTGCAGTCTAAATTTAATAACACTGTTTTGTGTTTATTGTGTTCATTTTCAGATTGTCTTCTATTGTGGTGACACCGTTTTCCCATTTATGGCAAAAAAGGTTTTTTTTTTGGCCAGGGCTGGGTTTGAACCCGTCACCTCTGGCATATGGGGCCATTGCCGGACCCTTTTGAGCCACAAGCGCCGCCCAAAAGGGTTTCTTTCTAAACAAATTTAAATAAAATCAATTTAAAGAAATTTATTAGGCTCGGCGCCTATAGCTCAACCGGCTAAGGCACCAGCCACGTACGCCTAAGGTGGC